TATTTCTATTTATTTAGTGTTTTACAGAGCCTCATTTGAAATGGGTGCTAAATGAAGTCTAAGACCTAACGCTAGGGACTTTATCTTGAATGCCATATGGATTGTTTCCATATCTTCATCGTTTTTCTCATTGTTGTTATGGTATTTGCTCCATACACACCTGACTGTTTTCTCCCTTTATGGAAAGTTTCCTTCACTGTGCTGGAAATAATGAGTCCCAGGTTAATTGATTTGAGAAGATTAAGGAGAGCAGCTCTGTGGGCTCATCAGCCTGACCCATGGGGCAATAGATTTGGCATGGTGCCCTGGGTCTTGCAGGCTGGTGGGTTCTCAGCTGCAGCGATACAAACCAAACAGCATCTCCTTCCTACAGCAGAAGACATTTCTGCTATGGTACGCATCCCCAGAGGTCTTAACAACGTGTAATCTGGTGTTATCTGAGCGTGAGAGTGGCTCTTTGGCAGAGGCAGAGGGCTGCTGCGGGCGCGGGCCATTTGATGCTCTGCGTGCTGAGGAGGTGGCCGGCTGCGTGCGCTGGTTCTGCCTTCGTCTCTGGTTAGTCCATTCCTGAGGTCGGGTGCGATTCCTGTAAACTGTCTGAGCACCAGCGACTGCGGCACCTGTGTACGTGAGTAAATAAGAAAGGTTACACTTGCTGAAACTCCCTAGGCTCTGTGCTGCTTATTTTTTCCCGGTTTTTATTACCTTCATGTTGGAAGCTCTGTGCATCTGGATTCTCAATGGAGAGGCTGCGGAGTCAGACGTGAACACGTGCTAAGGGAAGGGATTGCCTCTCGGCTGGGTGCCTTTCTGCCTTTAGGGTCATTCCCAGCTCACCCAGGACCTGCTGCTGGATGGCTCTATCTGGAATGGCATAAAACCGGACCAGGGATTCATGTATCTCAGCTCTCTTTCCCCAGGTTTGTTCCCCAACTGTCTCTCCATACACACTTCTTGTGCTGCTCATGGCCAAAAGCTTCACATGATGACGCACAAATATCTGCAGCCAAGACCTTATTCTTCACCCTAATGAACTCCCAAGTGCCCCAAGCCCTGTGAGGTTTATAAGAATTCAGTATCAAAACTGAATCTTCAGTTTTCTGACTAGTTTCTTGCCAATGCGATACAATGTTTCTCCAAAAAATATGTGGCATACTTCATTTTTAGTGATTCTAAGAAAAGCCTGATGAAGGCAGGCAGACTTTCTTCTGGTTATAAATAGCTGAAAGACTCACTGATCATTTAACATAATTTACAAAAAAATGCACCTTAAATTCTGCCTTTTCTCTGTGGCCATAAGACCTGTTCAGACACCTCTTTGCTGAACCAATGCAGGCAGCGTACGTGTAGTAGTTATGGTTTTTTAATGATTCATATCTGTCTGAACCCTGAAATCACTGTTCGGTCATTATTCAGACCTTACTCAGGGGTAATTCCCATTATATGGTGGTGCTCCTCTGGCAGCTGCTGCAGCTCCTGGTTTTGATGTCTTTTCCTTTTGCTTTGTGCCAGTACCATCCTACCAGTTGAAGTGGCTCCTGCTGGTGGCGCGTCTTTCTTTTTCTTATGCTTGAGGAATAGGTTTGAGATGAAAGCTTAAAGTTGTGACTCTGTAGAAAGATACTCTACAACTCCTGCTTGTAGTTCAATGCCTATGAACGACAGCAACTGGGAGAGGAGACACAGAATGCATTCTTGCTTTTCTTCTTTCTTACTTTTAGGTATGGGAAAAAGCTTTCCTACAACCTGCTTTGATCACCACAGAAATACAATGTTTCTGGTCCTGGAAGTGGATGGTTTTTATTCTGGAAATGGGTGGAAGAGGGTATTTCCACAGCTGTAAAGAAGTATCTTCCTTCTCCCCTCACTGTCCAGTCCTTTCTCCCCCACTCCTCTCTTTCCGCAGAGCTTTTGGGAACTCTGGATGGAATAGTAGCTAATGGCTTTTTTTGCTTTCTTTGCACAATTTCAGTAGCCTGGATAATAAGCGGATGTCTATGAGCCATTGTATAGGCATTACTAGTTTGAAGCCTGATGGTCAAAGTCAAGAATGAGGGTAGGAAGTGGAAATCTGTTCCAGCTTTGCCAGGTGTCCCCAGGCAGATCAGACTGTTTGTACATCCTATTTCCATGTTTGAAATGAGTGAAAATAGGACAGATCTATTCCACAAGTTTATTCTGAAGCTTTATTTACTTCAAATCTTCAGGCAACGAACACCACATAGAGGCAAAGAATTTTTTTCTGCTTGTTTGCTCTTTGCTGGATTTTGGGAAGAAAATTCCAAATTTCCCTGTTTCCTGCTGTTCCAAGACTTGCTGACAGTAGGAAAGTCTTGTCCATAAACCTATACATGCATAATTGTACTAGCAAGAGCTATTACTGTGATGACAGACACAGCAGTGTGATAGCACAGCCAGTGGAAATCCCCTCCAATTTATAAACCATCATGGCAAAATTGTGCTGGAATAGCTCCACTGCACCACTGGGCCCTACTGCCATGGTCTTGGCAGTGAAAAAAAAAAAAAAAATCACATCCCTTCCGTAGCTGTGCTGGTGAAACTTCAAAGAGTAGAGCACAACTTAAGCAAGGCCTACGGTATACTTTCTGTTGTTGCGGCTGTGGGGATCTTGGGTGTGAAGAGGTGTGGTGCCTGATTGAGAAGACATGGCTGGCAAAAGCCTCAAGCATAGACACAGTTGTACCAGCCAAACCTGTGGATTTTGGTTGTGGGGCAAGGTGGAGCTGAAACAGACTCCACTGGTGAAATCTCTGTTTTAGCAATACCCTCTGCATCCCTATTAGAAATGTTTCTATCATCCAATGCACATGTAGAAGTGCAGCTTTCTCAGCCAAGCACTTACAGGACAGAGATGGCTTTGCTTTCTTCAGGTGGCTGCAGAAGGGAGCTTTTTGGTACACAAAATGTTTTGTCAGAGTAATGTCTATTTTCTTTCTTTTTAATTTTCCCAGTCTGTTGCTGAAAAGCTGCTGTTATAAGTCATGGCTGGGCAGGTAACCATCTGTTAATGAGTAATTCTTGTGTCTGATCTCGGCATTGATCTGGTCCATATTTTGCAATGTAATGTCATCTTGTGAGTGGGCTTGCTTGGAGATCCTTGTTATTGCCATACCGTGCTTCTAATTAGCTCCTGAAGGGAAAGGGACGGGAAACATCTGGGTGGTAAATAGTCTCTGATTACAAGCAACATTGGATTAGCTCCTCTGGAAGTGCTTTTAAATGCTTGCTGAGTATGCTGCTGATCATCTCTGAGGGTCAGGCACTTTGTAAACTTTTCACTCCCTGTGGTTTAGGGAGAGTATCTCGCTACATGGCACTCCCATCTACCCACAAAGATATTAATGATTAACAGCGATAACAGCTCTGCTTACTTAGAAAACTAAAATACCCTAAAGTCAAGTAAATCGCAGTCCCTTACGAAAGCTCATTGCTGATTCACCCTCCCGCTTCAGCCCAGCCCTGGAAGTTTCCCTCTGCCAGGCAAAACCTTCATGAGAGGAGAGCAAAGATGAAAGTCTGTGCTCCTTTCACTGTTGTCTTGGCTCTGACTCTGAGCAGTGACTGTGCAAGGATGGTAAGTCTGATTCTTCTGTTTTGGAGTGGTGGATCACCTACGTGTTGGCAGGCAGGACAATGTTGCTTTGGGGTTGGATAAGTGAAGCCACCAACCAGACCGAAAGGAAGAGCGTTTCAAATAAAAAACCAAAAGGGATTTGCTAGATGCAGGCTCACAGCAATGCTGACCAAGCGGGGGGCCTGTAGGATAGCTGGTCCAATACGTATCTGCATTTAAAGAAATTGCTTACATACATGCCCTGCTAGGGAGGAAGAACGGGAGGGGAGGAAGGACCACAAAAATTGAAGTACTTTGAAAATGCGTCTCAGAAATTTGTTGACACAAGCAGGTACGTGCAGTAGAAAGGAAGGAGAGTGCTACCCCACCAGACTTTACTGCTAACTGGTAACTGAACATGCCAGCTTAGGTAACCATCTCCTTCCTTTCAGACTTTTCCCTGTTTTCATGCCATATCCTTCAGTGTTTTCATCGTGTGCTTTGTGTCTTTTTTTTGGGTATGTCTGCAAGGCAGTTGCAGCCCTGCTGAGCATGGCCGTGATGGTTTGACTTTGCTAGTTTGCTTAAACCCCACCACAGCCTGGCATCCACCATGGACTGGCAGGACAGCTAATAGCCTGGACCCCCAGCTGTGTGGCTTTATGATTAGCCTTATTTCACTAGCTAGTTTAAAACTAGCTCAGATATACTTAAATGATGCTATAATCCTAACTATCCCAGTGAAGTACAGACATATCTCCTTAGACATTGCAGGTGGGAACAGAGAGAAATGTTCATGGTGCCTAGGAAAAGATCAGCCCTGGCTGAAGCCATTGGAGACTGCCCAGTGCTGGCAGTCAGTGTAGAGTGCAAAAACTGTTTCTTCCTCAGAACGGTTCAGGCCCTTCCTATATATCTTAGCAACAGCTTTGTCTTATCTCTTACTTGTTATGTCCCCTATCCAGTTCTGCATTCATGGTGAGCTGCTTCCTTGACTGCTTTTGTGATATTTTTATTTTGCTATAGTTCAGCTGTCAGCACCTTTGGTGGCAGCAGCACTTTATGTGTATTACCATTTTTTATTATTTCCTGTGGCTTAAAATCAGCTCAGCCTAGTGCTCTTTGCTTGCTGATCGGCGAACACAAATACAGTAGGGGTTGCTTTTTTAACTAATGCCCTGGGGGATACGACTAAATGGCAGGAAAAGTCAAATGCTGGGATATTATTTGTAACTGTGAACTGGCCCCAGAATGCATATATGCTTCCTGCCGAGACAAATAGGAGATGTGTCCCTTGGCAATGGAAAGATATTACGGAGCAGAGCTTTGGCCTTTTTTCTGCTGTGCTGGGTTTTCCTGGTTTAACAGAGACCTTTCACGAGCCAGTGTTTATCTACCCTCTTTCACCAGACTGTGCCTCAGCAAAAGTCACATGCAAATAATGAGATATTTGCAGAAGTACTAGGAGAAACACAATTTCAGGGCACACTGGAAAGCACGTTTGTAGGGTGGTTCCCAGAGTGAATTTGCATCTCCAATCCACATTCTTTTTTTCTCTTTGTAGCACTACAAATCTGGGGCAGGAAGAGGCTCAAAACATGAGTTCGCTCACCCACAAGGTACAAAGTCAAATCCAATAGGTTTCATGACAGTAAGAATGATCTGCCTGTCTGTATCCATGCTGTGCAAGTTGGTAGTAAGCCTGTCTTTGTTTCAACATGAATAAGGATTATGGAATGGTTATGCCAATATTAATTTCTGTGTAGAGGGGAATTTGGGATTAGCTCAGGAATCTCAGGTCATTTTCCTTCAGGTGTGGATTAATGGGAAGGTGCTGATGGGGGTTTAGTTTGTCTGAGCTGGTGTGGCTTATATTCACTCATAACATAGTGTGGCTGTAGATGTGCAACTCCCTTTATTTTAATCAGAGTTGCATCTGCCCTGTGACTTCAAAGCACATAAGCTTTTTGTATGTATAAGTTCAATTTCTGCCACAGCCCTTGATCTCGCATGGGGCTCAAACGCTTCTCCCACAGAAATTGCTGGCTTGCCTTTGTTTTGATGGCACCTATACAATCAGACATCCTGGCTCTGTGTGGGCATTGCAGACTTGCATTTTGAAAGCTTTTGTTGTCGTGTGTTTTTGCTGTTATGGATTACATGAATTGGGCCACTAATGGTGCCTTTAGAGCTTAGAACAGTCTTTTCTGTCCTTTGGGATGCAATATATCTTCTGAATGGGGATGTATTTTCACAACTCTCCTATCTGCTTATAACAGGAGGTATCACACAGAGAAGGTAAATATCTGGACTTTTGCTTAATTAGTTCAGACAACGAAAACCAGGCTTGAAAAAGGGATAGCATTGGGGCTGGCAGTAGCTATTTCTCATTGACAGGTAAGGGGGCAGTTAGGGCAGATAGAGTGACCATAATTCCAAACAGTTAGGAAGGGTTTGGACCACAGGGGGGGGTTATTTTTTTCCATAATGCTAATAACTGGTCTCGGGAGCTTTTTGAGATGATGAGTCTGGGCTTGTGAGGGTTAACAGGTATCACATGGGTGTGCAGGAGCCCCAGCCATGACTGAAGGGGTAAGCTCAGGAGAAGGAGTAGTCCTACATCATCACTGAGAAATGGAAATGCACTGTGCTGCCAGCTGCGTTGTGTGTCCCATTTCTCTCCTACAGCAATGGTTGGCTTCCCATTCATGCTCCTGGATCTCAAAACTGATTGCTTTTAGTTTAACGGTTAAATAAGCTCTGACAGTTTTTCATTGTCTTTTTTATCTTCAGTCTCTCTCATTCTCAAGATTAATCTCAAAGGATTTTTTCTGCTAGACTCCCACCAGCCTTCCTTAGACTCCCACCACCCTTAGACTGCCATCACTCATGTGGCAAACATAAAACTTGCCCTTTTTAGACACTGGTCCCATCAATTTCTCCCCACTTGTAGGGAATATGCTTATCCCAAAGGGAAGGTGGTATGATCAAAATTATCTGTCTTTGCCCAACCTTTAAAACCTTCTTTCTCCTGACTGTTTCTATTTCAGTTTGTACTGCCTGGTGCCTTAATTGTTTTAAACAGATGTTGCAATGTGATATGGAGCCTGAAAGGGTACTACTTCAGAAATCAATTTAATATGCTATTACAATACTACATAATTAGAAATGATAATTGCAATTAATGAATATAATTGGCATTTGCTGTACCAGAAATTGCAATATATTTTGAGCTGAAATGATCTGAGATCTTTATTCTACCACAGAGCCCATTAATCTGTTGATTCAATCATTACATAGGATTTTAAGCCTCTTCTTACGCACTAGAAGTTGCAGAGTCACAGAGTCCAAAGTACAGCTAAAAAACTTGAAGATATCTATCTTCATAATTTCGTGTAATAACTGATAATATATATACCTGTGGGTTGGATTCCAGCTGCATGATGAGGTTTTTATTCTTTTATTTCAGTGTTTACAGAGGATGGAAATTTATGCAAATTTCCTTTCCGGTATGGTGGAAGATTTTATCACTCGTGTTTATCAAATCTATTCTCCCAAAAGAAATGGTAAGTTAACATTGCTCATAAATGAAGACAGCATTCAAACGAAATTGTCATATTTTTAGTGCTTTAATCTTGTTTTTAGAATAATTAACTTGAGCTTGATGTTGTGCCCAAGGAGAGCCATGCAGCTCTCCTGCTTATAGTCATGGTCCTCAGGTCAAGACTTGTGCTCAGAGCGGAGGAAGCCCAGGCACGGGGACTCCAGGGCCACAGAAAGCTCAAGAACTGCAGAAACGATTCCTCCTTGGCCTTCATATTGGAATTGCCACTTATATGAGTGGCGAGAGTTTGTACGGAAAGGACAGGACTGATGAAATGACCTGCTGTTGGGGAAAGGAGAGATACAGACACCTGTAAGAGATGACACTCGGTTAAGGAATTGTTTGATTCGTGTGGGCCACACTTATACTGCAGCAGAGACCATCTGATTTTTGAGGAAAGTTGGTTTCTTGCCTGCCCTCCCCCCATCTGTAGTTTCTATCCAGATTGGCACCAGGCCCCTTTTGGACAGTGCACTACTAAAAGGTGAGGTATTACTCCTGCTTGTTGGGTAATGATTTATTCTACTCATGTGTTTAAGGTCAGGTCTCCTTATTCTGGGCAAAGGCTATTCTTTTACATATGCAGAAGTTGTTAGAAGTATTCATTATTCATTTTGGGGTAGGGACAGCCAGGTGGAAACCCTACTGCAGCAAGCACTGAATAAACAAGACTAACTGTGCAGACGAACCTATCTAATGGGCATATATTAACAGAAATCAAAGGCAACAAAGCAGGGACTATACGGGTACCAGTAATGTGAAAATACATGCACAGATGAGCTATGTGAAAGGCACGTACTTGCATGTTTTCAGGGTGGAGGTAATATTTTATGGAGTTTATTTTACTTGCCCATGCAGAGCAGAAATCTCATTTTTTATACTGGACTGTCTAATTTTTTCATGATCTGTGTCATCTTTCTGATGGCACATCTGTTTTAAGTGTAAGTGCTGGTGTAATGTAAAAAACACACACCTTCTTATACAAATAGACATAGAGCTTCAAGCTAGGAGACTGCTTCTGAATTTCCCCAACATCCATAGATACAATCCAGATAAGAAAAGCCTCAAGGAAACAAGAATTTGAGAATATCTTAACTAAAGGAAGGTAATTGGAATAATTTTGCAGTTTGAACCCTGTCTTTGATGAACTGTAGCCACAAAAAGTTTGACCTTTGGACCCATTTAATTTCATGAAATGCTTAAGATGGATCTTGTTAATACATGACACTTTGTGTATTTGTTTTTAGCCAGTTAGGGCCCAGAAATGGAAAAAAATGGAAAAAAACCCATGAATGGATGGGATCCAATGTTAGAGCACACTTTAGAGCTGACCTTGGACAACTTGCTCTTACAATTCTGATTTTTAAAAAGCCATTTACAAGTGGGGAGACGAGGAGGAGGACAGCTGGAGCTGTTTGATTTTGACAGGCCATTTCACCCCATGGGTGACCTTCTGGCCAGTGTTTACTCTTCTTTCATAAGCTAAAAGCAACCTAACGTGTGACTTCAGGCACAGAGATGCCGGGAAAAGAGCCCGGAATAGCAGCTGGGAAACCTGCTCTGTGCATTTTTGTGTGACTTGGCACTAGCCCATGCTGGACTGATGCTCAGTATCTGATCCCAGGGGACCTGGCAGGCAGCAGGCGAGGGCAAGGGTTGTGTCCTTCTTGCTCCTGCCTGCCCACGAGCTGCTAGTAAGGATGGAGATGATGGGAGGCTGGATGGATGCAACCTGCCTCTTTGGGGGAAAATGCAAAGAGACCAGACCAGGAGAGTCTGGATTATGCACCTAATGAGTCCATGTCCTGAGTCCTCAAGTCATACTTTAAGGCAGGACTACAGGCAGGACTCTATAGTGTGAGCCAAAGCCTGCTCCAACTGGCTTTAATTTTATTATGTTTTCTCATACTACATATGACACAGATACTGTCTGCTAGCCCATCATATTAAGTTCAATAAAAAGATCAGCATTTAAGAGCAGTGTCTATCTTAATACAAAGCTCGGTATCTCATTTATGAAAGCTACTGTGTTGATTCAAAGTGCTAAATGTGGGACACAATCAGACATGACCTTGCCCATTTATAACATTAAATGTTTCAACATAAATCAGAGTCCTGACCACAGAAACCTCTCCCTACTTACTCTGAGAGCAACAAACAAGTTGTATCTTTATAAATATTTATTGAAAACACAGGAAAGAAGACAAAATAATTGCAGTACTCAAATAACAAACTTCCTTTAACAGCATCCTGTATTGCATTTCCCTTTAATTATAATCTGTTTTCACAGATGAATTCCTGTTTAGAAGCCTCTTACCAGGTACTAAAGATGTCATGTAAATTTGCCTTTTGCATTGAAGAGAAAAAAATAGCTGGACGTGTTGCTAAAGTTCATTGGTACCTACCTACCTACCTACCAAAACAGTGTAGGGACGGACAAAATGGGGGTGCAATGAACACCCGTGAGAGCAAATGGGGAAGCTGGTCTGAATTGCAGCCAAGCTGTGGCTGCAGGGATGCTGCCAGCGCCCTGCCCCTGTGTCTTATGGTGGGATGGGTACCCTTGAGATCCTGCTCAAGGGGAACAGTGGGAACAGATTTTGGCTCAGATTTTGGCTGTGACTTGGAAGGTGTTGACTTATACCCTGGAGAAGCCCTATCCTGTGCTCAAGTGCTGGATGTGTGCATCCCCATTGTGCCAGGTTGCAAGGGTAGGCTTAGGTCTGTATAGGAAGGGCATGATCTTTACCATCTTCTCTGGAAACAGGAAGATTTGATACTTTGGCCACAGACTGAAAACAGTGCAAAGGAGGGCTTTTTGGCCAGCTGGATTACAAGCTGGAGAGTTTATGCCAGTCCTGGAAAGGAGAAGGACATTGGGGGTGTGCCAGGAGACGCCAAGCATCAGGCTCTGGATTTTGCTGGTGCTGGTGGTGGTTGCTCTGACGTTGTCAGGCGAAGTCTGGCTATCTCACATGGTCAGAACAACACCTAAAAAGGTCTGAGGGAACCTCCAGGCCTCAAACATGGTGACAGCACCAGGCGTGATGGCAGAGCTCTTTCCTTCCACCAGTCTGTTCTGGCCCGAGGCTTTGCTCTCCAAAACGTCCTATTATTAAGGATCCCAGTGCTCCTGATGGGTAAAACAGCCCTCCATTTATCCTGCCCACCAGTTAGGCCTCATCTGTGATACACCATTTGGTCTGTTAATTCCCATGTTGTTTACCATGCATGGGTTTAAAATGTTGTTTAAATCAATCCCTAGTAGTGGAGTTTTCTGGTGCAATTAATTCAGTATCCATGTCTTTAAGTTTTCACTTTTTTATTAATTTTATGCGACAGGCTGGTGTAAAGATATTTGTTATCTCATAAATTTAGAGAGTGGGCCCATTTACAAGTAGCACAAATTAAAAATAAGCCCCTTTTGTTGGTGTGGTTGCTGGAAGTAACATCCCGCAAGAACAAAATGTCACCACATTTTTGGTAAGCCTCCCAGCAATGAAGAGATTTTAAAAAGAAAAGGAGAGTAATGAGACTAGTCAAGTAGCTTTGAGGATGCTCTGAGATTCTTCCAAGCAGTAAGATACGTGGTGGAAAATATAAAAGGATTATGTGAATGTGCAAGAAGCCTGGCACTGAGGAGGCAGCCTGGCGTCACAGGGGTGATGCCAACCTCTTTGTAGTCACTGTGAGGTGATAGGGAAGAAGAGGACTGTTTGTGAAGAGCATTGGGTGGGAGGACCAGTGGGTTGTAGAAAGTTGGTGGAAGAAGCCTCTGTCAGGGTCTCTGATGACAAAAAACATTTAAGAGGGGAAAAAACGAATTCTCCATTTGCTTAGAACTTGGCTGCTACTGGACAGACTCCAGAGAGTATTAATTTGCAAATAATTTTTTTTGTTCCCCCTAATTCATTGCTTGAATTCTTTAGATGTATATGGGGCCCTTTGCATTTGCCACTCCCATGCTGCTCAGTGTAATGCCGCTCTGCTAAATCAATAATTAGGTCAGTCAGAAAAGTTTGGATACTCCTTCCCTGTCAGTACACTGCCGAGAACCACTTTTAACTTATGCCTCACCTTAATCCTCATGTATAATAGACCACCCTTCAAAAAAGCATGATCCACTTCCCACTGAAGGAGCACAGAGAAATTGCCGTTAACTCCCAGCAGATTCGCATGGGTCTTAATGCCAGTGAGAAAACAGCATCTTTAAGAATGTGTCAAGTTAATCTGCACTAGGCTACGAAGCACCTTTCTTTTTGTGCACCTTATATAATTGAGGTCACCAAACTTAGTATGAGTGGCCTTTTCAGATGCTCCATAGGAATTAAAGCATTTTAAATACCACAGAGCATCTAATTAAGAAACAAAGTAGGGCAGTTAAAATGGTAGACATGTTCTACAATAAAAAATCAATCTAGCTTGTGATGTCCTAGGGTGAAAAAATATTTGATAACACAACTGTTCAAGGTATGATAAAAACACACAACATAAAAATAGATTATCAGGCATGTTAAAGCAAATTCCTATTTCTTCCAATGCTGTTAGCCACTCATTTTCCTGTCTGGTGGCAGCTGATACTTATTATGCTGCATTAGGACTGGTTAGGGAGGTGTTTTGGTAGACGGCGCATTGGGACACAACGTGGACCTCCAAGGTTCAGCCTTGGTTCAGTCACACACTCCCTGTGTAGCCTTGGGGAAGCCTATAAGTCTACCTCTGCAAGTGGAGAATAGCAGCTTAATGCTCCTTGGAGTGCTATGAGCCTTGGAGATAACAGACTGATGGGGGCAAGGAAAGTGCGTGGATAAACAGTTGTCAAAGTTTGTATCAGTAGGATTCCCACGGGTGGTGTAGCATGCAGGATTCAGCCCGCTGCTTTGCAAAAAGGAGAGGTTTTATCTGTGCATTTGGAAATCACCCCCGTAGGTCAGTCATTTCCTCATTTCATCTGGCAAGTTAAAAAATAGAAGTACTTTAAAGGAACCGAGTGCAAAATACGTTTGCTGCTGAAAGCCAGGAAAAAGTCCCTCTGTGGACAGTCCCCCGCCCCCACAGATTATTGAAGTAACTGATAGACATAAAAAAATGGGTTGGGTCCTGTTTTGCTTGTTTTGTAATGAATAAAGGAGACATAATTTATTTGCTTTGGTTTTGGTTTTTATTTCTGTCTTTCGTTTTCCAATCTTAGAAGTAGAAAGAATGTTGAGGTTTTTTGGAGGATTCATTGGAGATCTCAGGTCCTGCTTCCACATCTCATTCTTAATCTGCATTTTGTTTAAGAGAAATGGGGCAGAGCATCTTTAACCAAAAAAAAAAAAAAAAAAAAGAGCATATTTTTCCTCTGGTGTTAAGAGACTTTGAATGAAACAGATGCTAATTAGGGAAAAAAGTATGAATTTCCAGGTTGCCAAAGAATGAAGGCCATATAGTTTCAGTGCAAACATTAACATTCAGGTTGTTTAAAGCTGCACTAAACTGCACCTTTGACTCTTTTCAGGTGTTCAACAACACATAACTATGACCGGGACAGGAGCTGGGGACACTGTGTTTTGCTGTCCAAAGACCACTCAGGTAAGGTGAGCCATTGCTGAGTTGCTCCAGATACCTGGCTCCTACTTTGTCTCCTGCAGTAAGGAGGGACGCTGCCTTCAGTGCTACTTTTATTTGGTATACACAGAACAAGCCTTCACATTAGCTGTTTCTGGGATCTCTCTGTGACTGCATAACCATAGCATTGGACTGTGAACCTCACACAGTCTCTAATTCACTATCTGTTGACTAACTTAAAGTCATGGAGAGAAATTATGGTAATGCCAACATGGAAATCTGAAATCCTGCTGAAGCGGAGCACAGAGGTGATGGTCTTCTCCTCCCTCACGGCTTGGATGTGCCTTTTAGTTTTCCCCTCATTTAATCAGGTCCATTTTCTGTCTCTTTGACCAGTTAATTTTTTAGAAGGTACAGAAATCTTTTACACCCTGTGCAACACACAGCCATCACTTCCAGCTGTCCTTCCTCGAGATCTCAGGGTAAAGAACAGATCTTCAAACCCAGACTGGGGCTTTGGGCTGTGTCAGAGAAGACAAGATTACAGATGCATTCATTGCAGGAGTACTGAGGGACAAGGAAAAGGTTACTTAGCTGAGCAGTGCTACGGCCTCATGTGGTCGCCACACTCCAGTGCTACAATTACCTCATTGTGAAAGTCTGTCTAAAACGGGAAGCCAAGGTCTGTGGCAAACTCTCCTTTCTATATAAGTTGCTTTAATTGACACACGGTGTGAAAGCATCACATCCCAAGCAGTTCGGTGAGGAACATGCATCCCTGTCCTCAGCAGTACTTTGAAGGCTGGCCCTTGCTTGTTTCTGTCTCCCCAACTTCATGTTTCATGAGCTGGGTGCTGGGGAATCTCCTTTTATAAGGAACATATATATCTAATTCTCAATTTATACAGTGACAGACCAGAGCTGAAAAATCAGGTGTTGCACTGATCAGACTTGATGCCCCTGAGGCTTTTTTTGGATCTGTGTCTGAATGCTGACCAAGTTCCTCTTTTCTCCTTTGCACTACTTTCAAAAGTGATCTGTCTTGTTTTGTCTGTGGGATACGACCAGATGCCCTTAGATGTTTGCTTCCCACTTTCCAACGAAGGGCATTTTCCACCATCCACTGGTAGGGAGTTCTCCGTCACATCAGGAGACTCATTGCCAAGCTGATTACAATCTACCAGAATGCTTGAAAAGCCAACGTTAGCTGAATCATGCTGAGAGTCTAAAATTAAGCAGTGCACAGCATCATCATTTTGAACTTAACAACTTCAAATTATTTTCCATCCTGGCTTTAAAACAGATTAAGAGTAGATCAGAGACAAATGACCTAACCCCAAAACAGACAGCAATGCATGTGCCTTTGTAATGCAAGTATGTCAGACACGAACATAGACTTTATAGACAGTTCATGCTTACAGAGTCAGGTTGAGGGCTGCACTTACTTATTCATGAGTGCCCTCCCAGAGCTTAAAAGGTTGGAAGTGGTAACCCGTGACTGCTTTAATCCTCCATTGAAACACTGACTGTCACGGTGGTGGCTGGCTGACTCAAGGAGGCTTTTCCAGTAGCTGAAGAAGGAGCTCTCCAAGCCTAGCATTGCATTTCTGGGGGTGCCTTGTGCCACCTCTGTGTCTCCCTCAGCCCACTGTTGTGGCCTGGCCAGCCCCACATGCATCCATCTCCGCATCGAGCTGGCTGTCCGCAAGCCTTTTTGGGCTTTCTGGCTCATTTTTGCCTGTTACCCACCACAGCATTGGATAGGGTAGTTTGCAACAAGAAAGCCACTCTGTCTGTCTGTCCCTCGCTGAGGGATATCACTGTCTGTATACCCTAGCGCCAGTGAGGGCTTGCTCTGGCTGCTGTTTTTTTCTCCAGAAAAGAAAAAAGAGTTATATGTGTGAGAGAGGAAAGGAATCAGAAAAAAGGATGGGGTAGCTGGAAGAGATCACTGCTGGCTGTTACAAAAAAAAGACTTTATTTCTGAAAGCACTAAGAATTTTGTAAAATTAAATAAAAAAGTCTTTAGCTGTTCATTTATTTATGAACATAAGTCTACTTATTTTTTTAAGCAGCAAGCACTGTGTTAGGACTTGGAAAAGGTTTGACAGATCACCAGCCATACCTTAAAGAGAAAAGGTTTATGGTGGGTTTGAAAGGAAGGAGTGGCATAATGGATAAAGGGAATTTCAAGCAAACGGGATGAAAGTTTGCCTGCTGGGGAAGATAGCTAGGAAGAAAGAAGCTGTCAAACTGAATAATGCTGATCTTTAAAATGTGGAAAACATATTATTTTGTTGCAAAAACAACTCCACTAAAATATTAAATCTTTGGGAGAATCTCAACCACTTTATAGACACTTGAAAAACAAGAAAAAAATTAAATTTTGGGAGGAGACAGTATCCTTTGGCCATGAGAGATTGGTGAGAAGCATGTGAACTGGGATGGGGAAGGAGCTGCTTGAAAGCAAAGGCTGAAGCACAAACACCTTCTAGGCCAAGAATACCATGTGTACATGGGGAGTCGACTTGAAACCATTGGCGCTGTTTACAAACTATTGTTAAGCAAGTGTTGGATGTATTGATCCAGAAAAATACATCTGCGAACTTCAAGAGAAAGTTTGACCAGAAAGCGTTTAGCTTCAGGATGAAGTGAAGCTCAGGTGTGAAGGCTCTGCTGGAGGGAAATGTCAGTACCCCATTGTATAGAGCCGGCGCTTGCCATAACAACACCCGTGGCACTTGTTCACACTTTCCCCTGAAATCAGTGGGAGCTTTATCACTGCCTTCAGGTTTCCAGAGGTTTCTCCACTCCTGCCCAGGATATCTCTGTGGAGACTGTGTAGTGTCTGTCTGATGTGACTCTCTTCATACACATGGGCCAGCTGGGCTGTGAATGTGTAGTTCATATATATACACACATATATATGCATAAAAATGCAATGCCCCTCTGTGTGGGATTTCCAGATCCTGGGCAGTCTGTTAGGACTACTGCTCTAAATTTCCGGAAATCTTGGACAAATGGCCAAAACCCCAGGAGGCCCAGACTTGGGAGAAAAGTGCCAGACAGTGGGTTTTTTTGAGGTGTTTGGATTGACATGGAAAGGAGAAGTAGAGCTGTGTGGGCTGCGCAGGCAGGAGGAAGAGACATCATCCCAGGAAGGACTCTGGGTAAGAGCAGTCCCAGTTCTGGGAAAGGTGGGTGGCAGAAACAGAAAGCTTTTCGTGGGAAGATATGGTTAGAAAAGTGAGACAAGGCTACTGCTCATTCAGCAGAGCCTCAGGTGAAGCTGAAGTCAAGGTGATTGCTAGCAAGCACGGAGTGTTTTTTCTGCAAGGGTGGGAAGATACTGCTGGGTGGCTTTAGACATCGGCTGAGCTTGCAGGCACTTGGCACTCCCCGGTTAATGGCTAGTTAACGGTGGGCAGGATTCCCTGCAGGGAACTGTGATGTGTCCATGTGCTTATGAGTAGAAGTTGTTCCTGGACTCCATGGAAGGTGGGGAGGGATGCAGAATACCCAGGGGAAGTCAGGCTGGAGTGGTGGGTGGGATGCAGTGAGGGACTCTGGCCGGGAAAGAAGTGGAGGACTGTAAGTGCTCTTTGCAGATTTAATGAGGGCACAAAAAAAAATGACTTGAGCACCGCTGTACCAGAAGAAGGCCTGGAGATCAAGTCATGGTTTGGATGTGACGGGAATAGGAAACACAGGATTTTGCTTTGAGGAAACATTACACCACTAAAAGTTTCATAACTATCAAATGGCAGGAACAGCAGGAAAGCTTTCCCTTGATGTTATCCTGGAGTGAAACTACCAGTGAATACACCCAGGCCTGCTATCTGATATCAATTACACCACTCTATTCTGAAGCAAATATTTTGATCTGTGCAGGGGAACCTTCACATTTACACCACTGTAGCAAAGCTCAGGATGTGCCTTTTGTGCTTTGCCTCAGCCCTGTATGTGTGTGCCTGTGTTTCTATATGTTGCATCCCATGCTTAGGACCACTGAAGGAGCTAGCTGAAGGAACACCTGGACTGAGTAACTCTACAGTTGCCCTCGCAGAGTTTGACTAGTGGTAAAAAAGAAGATTTGAATGCAGACAAGCTGTTGGGCCAGCTCTGCAGCGGGTGTAAAACATGATGTTGATTGACTTCAGGGGAGATACATCCCTTGACATTGCCTGAAATCAGGAACGTCAGCTGGGCAGCAGGACCCTACAACTTTTGCATTGCACATGACAAGTAAAGCTTCCTTCGCAGGAGTTAGAGGGTCATCCTGGCACACGCTCTCCTCTCCCACCCTATTTTCCCATGATTTAGAAAATTCCTTGAAGAACAGAGATACATATGACTGGTCCAGTTTAATCTTGCTTGGCCTGATTTACTTGGATCTGCCCTTGTTTTGCTTCAAAATTTTTTCCTTTGTTCCAGCTGTCCATTAGTTTTAGGCATAATCCAAAAATCCATGGCAAATTTTTCTGTCAAGGGTTATTCTTTGCGTAATTTGAAAGAGAGAGGCATAATCCCGGTGAAACACGAAGCATGCAGGGCAGTAATCCGGGCAGAGGCAGAGCTGCAGCCTTCCCTCCCCAGTGTAAAGGCACAGCTCCATCTTGTGGGCATTTGTCCCATCTTCTTCCTCACCACAGTGGCAGCTCTGGCAACTTCACACGTGCCTGGACCTCCCACCTTCGGCCAAGTTGCTCTGGGGAAGAAGGTTCAGCTCAGTGATTTACTGTATGTTTTTTAAAAGCTGGATAAATATAGCTACTATACAGCTGGAAACAAAACCAATGTACATTGGTTGGATACATATTGTTTTCGATTAATAGGTGTTATTGAAACTACCGTACCTTGAACCAAAATGGTTCATGTAACCAAGCCAACACCTAGCACAACAAAGCACGGCTTATCTGGCACCCATTAACAACAACTTCTTATGTGGCCTGTCTAGATCTCTGTGCAAACAACCCTTGCCAAAATGGAGGGACCTGTTCTCTCACTCATGGCCATAGGATGTACCACTGTACCTGTCCTGAGGAATTCACGGGCAAGGACTGTCAAATGAGTAAGTACCTTCTTCCAGGAGTGTTACAACATGAAATATTATCAGTAAGTAGAACTCATTAATGTTTGCTTAATGAAAAGGTAGTGCTGTTGTGATGGGAGAGACCACTGCAGCATGAATGTTTCTGTAGGCGGCTTTCCAAATGGTTATGACAGACAGTCCATTACTGACAGGACAGCTGAAAATAGCTCCATTTTACAGCTATTAATCCAAGCATGCTCTGAGCCAGTGAGATACTAAGCTGTGGGAAACACAAAGAGCTTTTTCCCCTCCCTTTGCTGTCTTTAAGATTTAAGTATTCCTTACATGGTTGGAAATGACTGATATTATCATCCAGTAGGTAGGGCAAGGAGACATGAAAAAAACAACAAAATTTCAGGTGATGCCTTATCCCTTATGTATATGCACACATGGGTCTATTACGACTTTTCCTGTGATGTCAGCTTTACACCTGGACAGCTACTCCACCTTCAGGGCAATTGTTTCCAGAGGAGAATCAGGCCAAAAGGCTTTACTTTGGTTATTTTTCAGGATTTATGGTGGTGTCACTCCCATCAAGCAAGGAATTAGGCTTTTACACTGAGGATTTTCTGTTGCACTTGCTGTTGTTTAATGACGGCTTTTGCCCACAGCTCTAGACTTCTCTCTCAATGCAAGCTAAGAAGCCTTTTTCAGTCCTGGTGCTCCACTGTCTCTAGCACAGCCCATCATCTGTGGATGATGCAGTAAAGTGGGACAGACACAAGTATATAGCACTGATTTGATTTTTTGTGTTTGCTGAATGAACTTTTGGAAGGGCTTAAGTAATGGTGATGCTGTCATGCTCATAGGGCTCTAGGAGAAAGCCACCTCTGCCTCGAGGTCCTTGGAGCTGCTGCTATAGTGGCTTAGCGCCTCCACACTATGGAGGCTGGCTTGCTTGAGAAGCACCATCAACAAACATGCGTCTGCTCAACAGGAAAAAAGGGATGAGCAGGGAGTGATGGAGATTGTGGTGCTATTCCTTGCAAGAAATAACCTCAGAAAGCTTGTGTTGTTTTTTTAAACTGTGTTTCAGAGAAATGTTTTGACAACAGTCTCTACGAGTTCTTTGATGTGGGCATGAGCTGGTCAAGAGTCCAAGAAGGAGCCGTGGAGCAGTGCATGTGTGTGAACAGCCAGATCGAATGCGAGAGTGTCGAATACAAAAGTAAGGTGCTATTTTGTATGACAGCTATTGGCCTGCAGGGAGTGAGGATAAAGGACAGCAAGGATATCAAAGCCTGAGTGGTGCTATATAGAGTAATGCTGCTCTCACGGCTCATGTACCCTCCCCAAAAGAGAACATTTTAGCTTACCTTTCCATGTGTAGGCAGAAATGCTGACCTAGGAAACCACTTCAATGTGTCCATCCTTGTTTGAGGAAGCAATTATATGTGTTAAGCTGAATTTTAGGGACACAGCTCAGTGCTTTCTTTACCAGGGATGCAATCCTGCACTGCAGCATGTAAGAAAATGCAAGAGATTATATAGTAGAAGCGCTAAAATTTCTGACCTTCTGAGCTCTCTTCTAAAGCTGTAACATGCCTGAGAGGCACACCCTTGTCTACTCTTCCCTTGCACACCTACAATTGCTTCATACTGCTGTTTCAGCTCTGAGATTTTTTCCCAAGCCTATCCCACTCTTGAGCTGCCAGCATGTAAACTCTACCTGCCTCCAGGATCCCATATGCCCTGCGTTGACCCCAGAGTCCCCATGATTTTTGGCCCTACATACCCATTCCTGGCTGTGGTAATGCTTATATTATGAAGCCTCCTCCTTGTTTTGAGGCTCCCAGGTGCCTGACATGGCTGGCCAGCTAGCTGCAGGGCATGTGCTTTGGGTTGTCACTTATCTGATGAAGCCAGCACTGCACCTCCCTTTTGGAAGGCGAGATGGTGGGAAACAAACTGGTATGCCTCACCAATATATATGTTCCAGTACAGCTATTCTGTTATTCAGTCTGGCTGACTTTTACCCTGCCCTTTGAAATGGGTAGGTGCTTTTATTCCCAGCTTACACAAATGGAAACTAAAGCATGGAGAGAGTTGGTGGCTTTTTAGGACATTGGGAGTCCATGGGAAAGTTGGGAAACTTGATAGAACTTAATACTTCCTAGCCACAGGTCCTAAATATTTAGCTGAGCTCCCTGCTAGATACTCTACTTTAAATTTTAATGCAGCTCATGGGCAAACTTGGAATTGGCAGAACCCTCTGTACAGAAAGAAATGCTAATGCCACCACCATCACCACTAGTAATAATAATCACCACCCCCATTTTACCTATTTTTCATTGGTAATATTTTTCAAAAGCTATGCTGACATTATCCAATAAAAGTAAAAACAATGACACAGACCTCAGTAGGCAGAAATCAGCAGTTTCCTTTTCTTCGATTTATATCAAATGTAGTAGTAAAAAAGGAAAAACTTCCCTAAAATATATATGCACGGAGAAGGTGTACTAAAGTAAGTTAAAATGGACTGATTCTCTTGAATAGTTTGTACCTTTGGTTTGATCTTTGATTCCTGCTTGTAGGTTGTGTTCATGATCCTTGCTTGAATGGTGGAGAATGTAAAATGGTTACTTTCACCGGGAAAATAGTATGTGATTGCAAAGGAAATTATGCAGGAAGGTACTGCAATATTGGTAAGTATAACAACCTGCCAGTGGGCAGGGAATCTGGAGTTTTCATCTGGGTGTGAAGCTGGTGGTTTTTGCCTCTCTGTTGTGTTCTGCCTTTGCAGACATTTCTTGTGATAACTGAAGAGTCACACAGAACTTCACAAACAAGCGTTTAATGTTTTCCTTCAGTGTAAAACATAACACACTCTTCTTCACTGACACCCTGCTTCTAAAAATATTTGTTCACGTACTTAACTCTATGGAAAATTAGACACAGAAATTTTAATCCAATTACTCATGCCCATAAAACTAAGCACATGCTTCCATTTTACAGGATCAGTTGCAGAGTTGTACTCTAGTGCAAATGCTTCCCCACAGATCCACGCATCTTACCCGGTCCCCTCATAAAGTCAGGATTTATGCTCTGGCAAAACCTAGCAGCTGGCTGTATTTGGTAGCACTAGATTGTTGTGGGAAGTAGATAAAAAAATGAACACCCTTTGTTTGGGTTACCTTGTACATTAAATTAATAGCATGCTTAACCCAGTACAACTTACCTAAAAATCCTTACTTTCACTGGTGGGTCATGGCAGACAAATCTGCCTTTTGGTGCCTACGTGTTAGTTCTGTGTTGCTTCTTATTAGATGCTACATATTTTTTAATATAATTTTCTTCCAGAATATTTAACATTTCTTACTGCAGGGGTTAAATCTACTTGTAAAGCTTACCTGCATGCTAAATCCTCACATCATATCACTGGCTACTTTTTGAATGCAGCAAGTTTTAGGCCTAAATTATAACAGACCTTCGGTCATACCAGCCTGTGATCCCATCAACTCGCTGGCTACATCCTTCTGAGTACACAGATCCCAGGGCTCATTAAAATTGAAGACAAGACACCTGGTAGCCATGGTGGGCAACTAGTTGGTCCGAATGGGTGGTGGGGTAAAAAACCATGGTAATGAACACTGGAATTGGTATCTGGTCGTCTTTTTTGTTATTCTGATGGTTAACAAATGGTGTAGCCGGCTATTCAAGCTGGAAAAAAATAATCCATTTGGGAGACCAGCAGTAGAGCTAGATTAACAAATAGTAGGAGTGAATTGGCAAATTGAATGGCGTATGAACTGGTCCTGAACCTTCACTCACGAGGCACCTGGTAAATTGTGCGAAATGGGCTTGTGACTCTTTTAAGTCCCTGCTAAGGAGTGCTATTGTAGCTCTGGTTTTTTTGTCCTTTAGCTACCCTAGTGAGATTTGTCTCAAGCTTTGCGAATGCTGCTGCAGTAATTTGGGTGAGAGGCTGCATGTGTGTGGTGCATGTGTGACCTGGCATCCCGGCGAGGACTGCACGCCGCTCAGCTTCAAATAAAACCGCTTTTCAGATTGCTATTTCATTATCAGCTTCCCCAGCCCAAAGTGGCAATGCTGTGCATAAACATCCAGCCAGCATGGCCTGCATTATAAATATCAGGGTGACAGTGCTATAGCTGTAATACTGGTTTCTGTCTGACTAGCTTAGAACAAGAAATAAGCAGGTGCTCTTGATTACTTGAAAATAATAAAGCAAACATTTGGTTTGCTAAACAAATGGCTTTAGATGCTTACAATCCATCTGTGTTCAGCTACCTAACACCCCCACACAAAACAGGAACTGAAGGATTGTATTTATGTGTCAGGGCCTTGCAAGCAAGTTTAAAAATGAAAAAAACTCTTTGCCAGCATTTAGCCATTCTAAATTAACACAAATAATGCTGGGGTCTATAGACCTGGTAGTATCATCACATGAGGGCAATGGCATTCTGGTGAAAGCACTGGGAGCTTGTGCTCTCAGAGCACATAGAACTGTTTTTTAAATGTATGTTGGATTAATTTTTTCTTCAAACCTTCAATCTGATGCTGTGAACACAACTGGCTTTTTTCTTTGTTTTCCTTTTTACTGTCTTGTATAGTTTCCCTTGTCCAACAGGACTGAATTGTGAGGTTACCCTTTAGTCCAAATAGCTTATGGTTATAATGCTTGATTCAAAGAAAGTTACAGTGTCTCCAAAATGTGCTTCATTCTAAATTATTAATTTTATTTTTTAACTGGATTTTTAGGACGTAGAATTATCTTAATCATTGGGTGGTACAATGTTCTTGATGGCCAGCTGGGGTTTATTTCTGGCCTGTTTGTTGTATTAGGACTCAGCAACAGCTCAGGGTCTGTTCTTGTGGAACTATTTGTAAAAATAAGGTAGAAGACATGTATTAAAGTAAATCAGTGGGATGGATGAGTGAGTTGTGGCAGATTTTGGTGGTTTTTGTGGTTAAACTAATGAAGAGGTAGAAAGCAGGCACATGGAAAGCCTGTTGGATTTGTGTCACTGTGGTTGTGGGTTACAGTAGATGGTATGTTTAAGAGTATTGGGAGGACTGCACAGGGGATTATATATATATTATATAGTTTGCAATCATGTTTTTGCTAGTATTGGTCATGATGAAGTATGAAGTTGTTGAACGTATTTTTGAAAACTCTTTATGTTTTCTAGTGTGGTTTTTTTTTTCCCTAGTTAGGCTATGGGTAATGGAATTAGAGGGGTACCATAGCTTTAAAGAAAGTATGAGTTGGAATGCTAATTGTGGAAGGTTTATGGTTATATAAGGAGATGTGTTGTTGTATGTCAGAAGTAGGCTGAAGATTTTTAGAAAAGGAAGATGACAGAATAGCTGAATATATAATTACATACAGGAAAAAACCTCTTGGTCACATCTTTGGGGGCTAAACTGGGGGAGTTTGAGGTAATAAAAGAAGTAAAAAAGACAGCAAACACCTTTTTAGTGGTTGCTTTACTGAAATAGGGTGTTTGCAGTTTTCTACTAAAAAAGTACTTTAGTAAAGGAAATTCAGCTCTGGAGGCTGGAGGGAAAGTTTTGAATCTTTTTCTTCTGAAGAAGACAGTGAGAAGAAGATACTGAGTCTTAACTTTCTGATTTATGTTTACCAGTGTTATTCTATAATCTGCTAGAATGCTTTTGGATTAGTGAAAAAAAATTGTGTAAAGTGTAATAACAAGGTCAGCTGGCTGACAATGATAAGTGAGTATTCAACCAGTCAGTCCCCCACTGAGCTTGGATAAGTAGGTCTGCTACTAAGAGCTGAAGAGAATTTGTAAGTGGGGCTGAGATGCTGCTTGTTGTTTGAATGTACGGAATATTGGAATTAGTAATAAAACCAGGATGGACAAGAATAGGTATTCCTCCATGATTGTGGAAGACTGAATAGAATAGCAGATAAAAAAGCATCATTATGGCTTGATATGGGTTGGGGGTGTGGCTACATGGTTTGCAGAGTAAAGTTTTATGGGTACCCTGTGAGGTTGCATGAGGGCAGGGCAAGTGTTACTAAAGCCAGGTTAATGAAGAGAAAGCCTAGGGCACTGTTGCAGAAATAGTAAAGGCAGGTTGGATTTTTATCAGATTTTGAATTATTTCAAAATAATTCAAATAATGATGGAGTTCCAGGGAGGAAAAACTAGGTCTAGTAGACTATCACCTGCAGTGATAAATGGTAGGAGGAATCGGAAGATGAAGAATTGAGTGAGCATGGCATTATCAACTGAGAACCCACCTCTGATTCCTTGCATTAAGATAGTGCAACATAGGGGCTGGTGGACAGGAGACTAGCGATAACTATAGCTTCACAAAAAGATAATTATAAGGTGTCATTTATAGAGGTGATAGATGTAAGCAATAATAGAGATGCTGCTCTGATCTCCCAGGTTTCTTATAATAAAAATTTTGACTGATACAGAGATAACACAAATAAAGAAGGGAGCACTGTATGCATGGAGGTTATGGATTAGTCCTTTACACTTAACTTCCTGGCAAATGTGAGCTAGAGAGGAGAAAGCTAATGAGCCATACTGTCAGCAGGATAGCATATAGCAAGGATTAACTCTATAAGTTAATTGAGTGATAAGGCAAATCCCAAGAATAGGCAAAAATTTCTCCAGTCAGAGGCAAGAGTAGGCCGAAGATCAACAGAGAACTTAATTTTTACAAACAAATGCCTTTTTTTTCAGATGTTAGTAGGCACTAAGGTTTCTGTCATGCCTTCTGTGTTCCTACAGTGGTGCCATTTTAGATGACAAGTCTTTGTTGTGATCCTAATATAAACTAATACGATTAATATTAGCAGCTGCTAATATGAAGCAGTTGCTTAGTCCTTACTCTTATGATAGTGTGCCTGACTTGGCAGCAGTGTTAGTTATTGGGTGCTGGTTAATTCAAGGCCATAAATGTGTTTTTAATCCTATTTTTGATTTATTTGAGACATGACAGTTGTATCAGTTAATTATGTTTTATAGAGGGCACATCTCTTGAAATGTGAAAGGACTGACATCTTTTAATCCATGCAGTCTGTTTTGCTGTATAATTGCCAGTTAGGAAAGTGGTTGAAGGGACGATGTGGTACAGCAGCTCACAGGCTTTCAGCTCACCCCTTGGATTACTGCAAAATTCTCCATTGCATTGTTTGTCTCTCCCATTGCCTGCTTTCTCCCACCAGCCCACACTGGGTGCTTCAGGTGTTCCAGAGACCCCCTCTCATTACTGGCTCTCTACAGAGCAACTGCTCATCCACTGGCCACCATTAATTGCTATACAGTCTGTTTCTTTTCCTGTCCAGAGGCTTATCTTGGGTCATAGTCTTAACACACAAAGACCTACAGGTGTATTCAAAAGAATGAAAGCTTTCACGATGAATTAGGCACTCAGCTACTCTTGAAAATCCTGTAAAGTAGTCCATGCAGCGGGTTGTTTCCCTGTCAAAGTAATATAGCACTGAGATGTGCTTGTTGCTGCTGGAATTTCTTCCCCCTATCTATTGACAACCTATTTCCTAAATATGTTGCTCCTTTTATCTCTATATTCTTACCTATTTGATTGCATTTATGACTCTGCAAGTCATGACTATTGTGCTAGAATTGAAGATAATCAATAGAAAAATGAAACGGAAAAACAGCCAGTCCTTCCTCTTATC